CGTACACGTGGCCTGAAGATCAAGTTTAACGTGTACCACCGGCGGTACACATGGCACAGAACGTATGTTAAGAAAGTCAATGAGAAAAAATTTTATGAACAATCACGGATCGTTCTTGGCCAATTGCAGTTTTAATTCGCGAGACGAGGAACATCGGAGTACCGAATAACGGGACTACTCCGTCTTGTTCCGAGTGATCGTCGGTATTGATATTAATTTCTAACGAATCCAGTCCACGCATCTATTCGTGGCGCGAGGTATCAATCGATGGAGTCGGATAGTGAATTATTTGCGATGCCAGACACGCACGAATCGCAGGCACACACACACACGTGATCAACGGTCACATTTCCGCCGTGGAAACCTTACTCCGGATATTTCGGGAGTGGAGATTCCTAGCTGCGCGTTTAAACAGAAGCGATACTATTCGAACAGCTTTTCTACACTTGTCACCGATTGTGCTTCACGAATTGTCGGCCGTACGTTCCACTTCTTCTAGAGTACATCCGGTTAATATTTTGTAGGGTAACTTAACGCAACCGCTTTCGATAGAACTAATTATGCATTGTGTAAAAACCAGGCTACATGTGACTTTTCATTCATCGCGTCCGCGATACTATACTTGCGGATTTTTCTTTTCTTCTTGGTCTCTTTAGAATCGACAATTTATTGCGCGTAATCACAGATTCAGAATTTTAATAAAACGGGATTGGAGTGATTTTAAAACGTTCATATTTTTCAACACCTGGTTTTTCATCTAACACCAACGTGTTAGATCAATTAACCCAAAAAGAAATCGATAAAAAAGATACTTGGATAAAAATGAGAGGAAGCATGAGGTACGTGTTCTTCTTCTTCATTTTTTTTGCTCGATAAATTTCCACTTGAAAGTTGAGCATATATGCGGTACCCCTATTGGAAAAGTCATTTTAACTGTACATCCGTATTACATTATGCGGTATTTATGATATACTTTCTACATTTATTCTATTGAGAACCGTTTCCACTTAAATATTCAATGGTAGTTTAACTGTCTCCAATTGGTGCTCATCCATACGTACACATCCAGCGACATGGACATTTGCTGGCATATTTAATATTGACACATACAGGTATGTACATACCTGTCGGTGAAGCAACAGGAAAGCCTGTAATGGTCGTGTTACTCAAAATGCAGCACCGATCGTCCATAATGTGCAACGAAGTTTCCTAATTCGACTTTTCTACATATTTGAAGTCCAAATGTTCCAGTTGTTATTTCAGGATTAGTATTCATCAGTTTGATGATTCGTAAACTGGGACTGGCGTGCAAAATAAGGTCTAACAAGTTTTGCTTCGTTATTACACGCGAATGAAAGAAAATAAAAATTAGATAAAAAATATAGCAATAAAAATTAGATAAAAAATATATAAATTGCAAAAAGAAAAGCTTGTGAATGAGGTGTACAAGGTTGTGACGACACGCGGAAAATACTCGATGATCCTGTTAAAAATTTCTCATTACAGTGATTAACATCTATTTTTTGGATCAACATGTTAGATTTAAACGAACAACCTCGGAAATAATTATGGACAGAAGCGTACATATGTATATTCTTTTGTCTGGTCACAACTAAACAGACAGTGTACACTTTCTTGTCAAACGGTGTACACTTAACCCATTAAGGCACAACTCATTACAACGTTATGTATACTTTAATTTCTTTTACAAAGGAATACATCCATGGTACTTCCCTTTGGTAAAGTATTCGTCAAGTCGAAATATATTTCAACTATTTTTTAGAAAACCACATCTGTATTATTACCTGCTCTATCGACGCGTGCTAATGCATAATTACAAAAGCAACGTCATTGTTCTGGTTTGCTCGACAAGGTACAAGAGGATTCGATAATTATCTAGGATGTCGCGATGACCGCACCAGTCTCTTTCGACTTCCGTGCTCGTTAACCCTCGAACAGTGTCATTTGAATGTAAAAGGAGAATAATTGTACATTTACACGAAGTGAGTGATAATTTCACGTTAGCTAGAATAACTAGAATAAATATTTCGTCAAATAAAAATCTAAACGTAAAACGTTCTTCTTCAAGCTTGCTGTTGTTTACGATTATCGTACGAAAATAAAAATCTGGCACGAAAGCTTGGTACGTAGAAAAAGGAATATACTACCCTTGTCAAAGGGTGTTTGCGTCGGCACGAAAAATAATGTCGTCGAGAGCAAATTGGACCAGGCGTTTAGCCTCCGAGTGAAACAGACGGGCCGATAAAAAAGAAACGAAAAGAGGCGTACGTGCAAGGTGGAACACTTTCGCGACGAGAAGGCCCCGGGCAACGCGAGTTCTGCGAACAAGGAGAGGTTCTGAAGAGTGCAACGATTTCTATATGGGCCACGAGAAAGTCACTAGCGCGTGTCGTTTTTTTTTTTTTTTTTTTTTTTTCTTTTTTCTTTCCGACGGTTATCCGACCCTTTTGCACTTTCGCGGTCAAACGATACTCTTCTTCTCGGCCTCGGGAATTAACCTTTGCCGAGACGATAATCGATGACGATACTCAATGTTGCGCGCAGCTGAACCAGAAATCCGTGTATTTCCAAGCG